CTTGGAGGAGAGGGAGGCCGCCGATGAGTAATTGTGGAATGTGTAGCACCATGGCGGCGGTTATGCATTCGACGAGAGGGGTGGCGCGTGCAAATTTTCCTAGGACTAAACTGCCCCTAGATTAAAACGCATCCCCACCTTGTCACGAGTACCGGCCCCACTCATTTTAGTACTTTCGCGTACTTTCATCGGAGTACTACCCAGTACTTCGTATTTGTCTGCCGTTAGATCGACATCAACGAACGGTCTAAAAAAGCCCAACCACTCTAAAACTTGTATTATATTATAGCTCCCCTTTTGGCCTTTCCAAATATCTTTTGATTTGTTCATTGCTTGGATCATTATCTATTTGCTTTTTCTTCACAGGGTAGCTACTAATATTATGTTTAATGATCACCGTTTACATACATACTATCTTAGTACTCTAGCAACATGCGCCTTTGCTTTGCTTTAGCCTCAACACTGTGTTTGTTTGTAATCTGGACATGTACAAATTGCTTAGCACGTGTACATGCTGAAAGCTAATTAAAACTACCTTATATCTCTACCTAAACGTGCCTCCAAATGTTGGGTACCAGAATTCCGGCACCGTCTCGCTCGCAACCGTGTACGTCGTTGCTACCGGCACAAGGCACAGGCCTCGGCTTCGGAGGTCCTTCTTCGGCTCGCCACCATCGTCCTTCGCATTCTCGGAACCCTACCAAGCAAATGTCATCAACAGCCAAGCAACAGAAACATATAAGATGGACAAATTGATATAAACTCAGTTTCTTACCTTCTGCTGGAACTGCTGCAACGGGTTCACATTCTTCAAGTACGGATAGGTCAGAGACTGCAGGGAGTTCAGTGTTGAGCAATTTATAAGCGATGTTCCGGAATATGAACAAGAAATGTGGACGCAGCAAGGCAGGCGTGGTGATTTTGGGCACTCACCGCAACTTGGTCATGGAGGAACTTGATGTATTCGTTGGCCTCGTGAAGAACCGATGCGGTATCGGTCTAAAGTGCATGCGAGGACACCAGCGATAAGTTAGGTCATTATCGATCTCAGACGGGTTCAGTAGAAGAGCACTTGTTCTCTCCGATAATTGGAACGGTGGCGAGGAAAGATAGGGAGTTGATTCAGAGCAGAAAGAAGAACTAATACCTTTCCAAAAGGCGAGACTAGTTGCTGGAGCGCAGTGATTCTGTCCCCTAGCTTCTCTTTCCTCACCTGCAGCTCAAAAGAAATTTTTATGCAATCCAAAAGTCATCGTCCATCGATGCTCGCAAAAGGAAAACACCAGCCATCGATCGAAGCAACAAAAAGTGACCCTGAAATGCAGAAAGATCTACAAATCTACTCGGATCGATCGGGCCGCACCTTAAACGTGGGCAACGGCGACGGCGCCTCGATCCGTGGCCTTTTCGCCGCGGCAGGCGAGTCGGGCTCGCTTCTCCTCACCGGCGGTGAGCACGCGTGCTCGGCAGACTGCAGGAGAAACTGAGGTTATGCATAGCTTAACGAAACCCTAGCTGTATGGCCTCTGGTAGTAAACTACTAATATTCTCCATGTGGTTAATTACCTTCGCCATGAGGGTATTGGAGCTAGAGCTGTAGCTGGTCTTGGGCTGTAGGGCTTGCAAGAGAAGCTGCGACGATAGAGGGGCGCCGCCGAAAGGCAAGTAGCCGCCGGACCCGGACAAGTACTGCAGTTGGGCGCCACCGCCTAGCATCTGCGTCGCCGCTTGATTTAACTGCATCGCCGCCGTGCCGTCGTAGCTGGTGGATGACTGGCACTCCCCCAACACCGAAACGTTGCGCGACGCCCCGGCGTTGTCGAACATGCCTTGCAGTGGCGCCGTGCCGTACGGAGACGACGCTGCAGGCACCTGGTCGAGCAAGCTGAAGCTGTGGCTCATGTCCCTGAACGGATTGCTCATCACGGCCTCGTCGACGGCCGGCTGATGAGCACGAAATAACGGCCTCGTCGTCATTGACGCCGGCATGTCGTCTTGAAGCACGGCTTGGAAGCTAGCGTCGCTTCTCCCGCTCCTGAAACTCGATCAAGCGAGGACCTTAGTCATCCGCACGGGCAGCTAGAAGAAAGATGGAAGATGGAAGGCTACTTACAAGAAGGCGTGCGTCCAGTCCATGTGTGCATCACCAATCGAGGAAGCGGCATCGGATGAAGGCTGATGAGCGATAGTACTGCTGCTCCTGTGGGGATCCTGGAAGGTTATTGAGCTCGTCGACTCCGCGGCCGGGGACGTCCAGCCGCATGTGGCTGCGTGACCCGTGTCCATGAGTGGCGCGGCGGAGCACGCCGATGTCCCGTGGCTCCTCTGTGAACCACTCCACCACTCGTCGGCCATGGAGATGAAGGGATCTTGATGCGGTTTGAGGTGTAGAAGTAGGTTGGAATGGATGGAACGGGGGAGAAAGAGAGAGGGGAATCTGAGTATATATGAAGGGTACAGTGTGGTATGGGCTGTAGCATCAAAGCTATAGTGGACTTGTGTGAGGGAGGCTGACCATTGGAAGGGGACAAAGAGGGTCGCTTAATGGTCATCAGGGTCTAACTTTTCCTTAGTAGGAGTATTATTTTAGTTCCATGCATGTTGAGAAGAATTTAGCTGTTGTTCAATTATGCTACGCAACCGGGAAAGCTATATAATAGACCAGCTCACTCATTTGGTTTTAACCAGATTTCAACCAACACCAACATTTTTCCAAATATGATTGAAATGTAACCAAATGTTGTCAAAATGCTACTTCTGTTGGAATTTTCGGCCTTCTTGGTTTCGCATGGCACCCAAATACATGTGGTATAAGGCGGTGGACTTGCCTCCACCTACTGCTCCCCAGGTCTTCCAAGATTATGACATCTCACTTGTTCGGTAAGGTTACGACTCCTTAGGAAACCAGGAATGACACACCTATGATAGTTTTCCGACAAAGTATCCCTTAGAGAAACTCTAACCCATCCATGTAATTGGTTAGAGGAGCAAAATAGGCGCTTAACCATACTTAGCCAAACTCCCAAACAGTTAGTGGAGTAAATATTATCCTCCTCCGGCCCAAAAGGTGCACCAACCCTCCAAAATATACTCAACCTCGGCGGCACCAGTAAAAATGTCACCAATTCCTCTTTCGCCCGAGTGGCCAACCCTTCCCGTTGCTGCCACCCGTAGTCGCCGGAGCCAGCGCTCATGCTTTCGATTTTGGCTGGAATGGATAGCCAAACCCTGTCCGCCACCCCACCGGCCAACGCCGCCGGCCAAGGTTCTCAGAATCGCGATTTTGAATCGGATCGGAGCTCCGATGGTAGGATCGCAATTCGTAGAATCTTCACTATCAAGATCGTATAAACGTAGCTTCTATGAACTAAAACCGTAGAATCACAGGGGTTAGTTTGGATCGTAAAGTCGTAGAATCGTATTACAGAATCACGATTCTGACAACCTTGCCGACGGCGCATCTCCGCTGAAAACAACCCCCACGCCGACACCCGCACCCAAAAAAAGGTTATGCACCAAAAATCTCATTTGATCCACCTCACCAAAAACCATCACCGGCAACTTGGCGGTCGCCCTCCCGTTGTTCCTGCCGCTAGCAAGCGGGCAAGGAAATTGACGGCCACCGCGTCGGCACTCCCGAGGAGGCAGCGAAGAAGACTAAGAAGGTGACCCCTCCAGTGCCTCGTCCTCATCCAGCTCCTCCACCCCTATGACCACTGCTCCGGCGTGTCCGGCCGCCACTGCTGGCTACAAGGGCCATGGCCACCAAGTGGTCGATGAAATGCATTCAAGGTTAAAAAAATGCGCTTGTCATTTTGGCAGATGCATTGCACGGTGATTGCTTGCGGCCGTAGGATGATGGAGTTTGTTGTTGTTTGTTGTAGTGCGGAGATAAACGTGGACGGATTCTTGTCATCTTTGGAGACGTCATATATGCTTGGGCTTGAAGATCTCAACTATGACTCGGTGTTTGATCATCAATTTGGTGAAGAGGAGGCCAAGAAGGAAGAATTGCCAAGACCTAAGAAAAGGCCAAGACCGAGGATGATATAATGTGCAATTGTTTGAAGTTCATGCGGCTAGGCTAAAGGAATTGCTAAAAAAATTATCCTCCTCTGAATGTAAGGGATCAGTTAGGTCCGTTCATTGTTAGAGGATAAATACCCCTCTAAAGATACTCGGCCGTTTACTCCTCTAACGGATAGGGGATAGGTTAAACTTGTTCTTAGCCCATGCACATGTAGGCACATATGGCCCAAAATATGGTATACGTAGCACATGAATACAATAGTATGAGTTTCTTTCGACAGTCGTCCAAGGGCACCATACCACGTAGCCCAATCGCAAAAGATACCGCTCACTGTCGCATATCCATGAGGCTTGGCTCATCTAGGTTGCAAAGCTGCGGCAAGAGAGTTGTGAAGGAGATGGAGGTGGGGGCGGAGGGGGCTAGGTTTCGCCCCAGCCAACCCCGAAGAGTGACGGGGACCTCAATTTCCTAAGAATACAAGATTAACAAGGGATGGGGATTTGTGGCACACAGGTTTCATGGCACAGAGTCTCTTGCACATGCTTTCATTTTTGACTTCTGATTTCAAACTTTATATCTTTTGAATAAAAAGTCCAAATTAAGTCTAGTCTCATATTTATGTTTTTCGTGATGAGGGCTTTCAAATAAGATCCATTTTAAATACATTTGATGAATTTTGAAAATAAATGTTGAGTTTCAACTCTTGAAACTTAGTACGAGCGACCAATAAAATCATGATTTTTGTGCCTATGACCGACAAAAAATATCTTAAAATTCTATCCATGAAACTGGATAAGAGTGAGCGAGAAAATCACATGTTTCAGTTGAAAAGCCGTAAGTTTCAACAATTGAAACTTAAAACTTACTACGCCCTCATGCGGGATTCAACTACTTCGCGAATTGCGAGGAAAATCGAGTGGCAAAACATGTGTGTGCCCCTGCGAATTTCGAGAATAACAAGTCTTGTAAACCCAAACGGATGGAGTGCCTTTACACAGTGCCCACAGGTCATCAGACTTGTGTACTGTTAGCATCTATACAAATTAAAGAATTTTAATAGATTATGCATGAATAATCACGTTGGGCGTGTTTGGTTGCCATTGTAAACAGTTCTTGCATCGCATACACTTCTCAACCTAGCCTGGTTGAGCAAAAACAAGCCCTAATACGTCATCTGCAAGTTGTTTGGTTGCCTACATTTAGTGTCCCTGCACTAGGTAATACGCAAGTGCACTTTGTTTGGTTGCCTGCATTGGCTCGGGCAGCACATGAACACGGCGCTTGGTTGCATACGGCGTACATGTTGTGCTTACCTTGTACCCTAGTTGGTGAGCTTACCCACAATGATCACACCTAGCACACCAACGTCACAACACATCAATGGCGATGAACTATGCGAAGATGATTAAGTTCTTCAGCTTCAGTCCAAACTAACGATCCATCTTGACATCTTCAACCTTGCCACTATCAATACTGCTGCCTCTGTGCTTTCGCACCCAGTCGGAGTAAGCTTGTTTTGCTTCATGCCTAGTCTTGAACCCTCTATGGCTACTGTTGCTATACGACGCCACTTGTGCACTGGCTTCTTCCCATGAACTGTAAACCCCTGAAGCCTTACCGATGAACACGACATACCACTTGCCCTAGCAATGCACAAGAACAAGAGTTGAAGCAGCAAATCAATGGAGCAGACAAGTAGCAATCAAAGTAGCACACAAACAACAATGGAGCAGAAGAGAAGAAGTAAATCATGCATGATCATACGACATAGCAAGTTCTACCTAGCACTACCTTGGTGTTAACCTACCACCACATACAAAAGAGGGTGTCGTCCTACCACCGCAAGTTCACCATCAGCATGAGGGGTTAGTATATACCACCTCACCAAAATATACAAACCATCAAATAGTTTTTAAGCCCTAGCTACACAAAATGTACGGCATCATCGTCATCGTTGTCGTCGCCACCGCCATCCCCGTCGGGGATCATGCACGCTCACAGGCAGCACTACTCTAGTAGTAGTGCTTGCCTAGCCAGCTCCTGAGCCACAGCACCCTGTGAGTGTCTGCCATGGCAACGAACCCAACACCCTGGGCCTTGTTGTCAAGCAGGTGGCTGAGAGCTTCCATGAGAGCCTCGTTGTTGAAGTCACCCTAAGTCATGACAGCGCCATATAGGTCAGGGTGGACGTCGAGGGGCTTGCACTCCCTGATGGTTGTTGCCACCTCCTTCACTGCCTCAGTCATGATGTAAAAGACATTGATCTCCTCCTCCATCAGGCCTCCTGTCTTCCTCTTCCTATCATGGACGGGGTCAAATGGCTTGTCGAAGAGCTTCACGAAGGGCTTGTCAGGGCCATCAAGGACCTCGACGTCCGGGGTCCCGGGGAAGTCTGGCATGGGATAACTAAGAGGCTCCCTTGAGCCCATGGCATGCTTCTCAATTGCCAACCCAAAGGAGAAGATGTGCAACATCTGGCTGTAGTTTTGAATGGGTGTTTTGAGAAACTAAGCGTCCCTTGGGTGGTCCTAAGAATGAAGCACAAGTGTTGTTAGTTGCGATTAGGAGTAGGAAATGGTGGACAGTATGAAAAAAATGAAGAGGGTTGTGAGCTAACCGCGACATGGCTGGCATAGTGCTCTGCCTCCAGAACTATGGAGCAAGTGTTCTCATTCCATGAGGCGCCGCTAATGTCTCTCAGCTTGGACACTTGGATCCATCGACCTCTCCAATTCCTCAGGTGGTTGTACACCTGGGTGGAGACACCTCCTGCCCACAGAACTCGAACACCTGCTTCGCAACGGTGTTCAAGTGCACCTCCTTGAAGCCCTTGCAGTCCTAATCCACTAGAGATGAGCTCACACATCTTGTTCAGCACGAACGTGGACATGAACGGCTTCCACTTCATGTTGTTCGACCTAACATCCTTCTTTGCCTTTGCTGTTGCTACCTTGAGTGCAACAGCAGCAACAGGAGTTGGCTCTACGAGCACTACTGGCACATAGAGGGAATCAGACACGAACACCTCTGAATCAGGTGCCATCTTGGACATAGGCTGTGAGTCCTCGACAAACGATGGAGCAAACTGACTGTCGGACAGGACAAGGGCCCGACTAAGATCTTGCGTCTGCATGGTCATGTCCTACAATCATAGCACGCATTGACAATAAGCATAGCACACAACATACCAGCCAATCCATGAAAGCAGGAGCATACATGTACATGGTTCATCACTATCATAGCAAGCACATGCTTCATCACTATCATACTAAGCACATATGATTCATCGCTATCATACTAAGCATACCGGACAATCTATGAGCAC